CTCGCTCTTTCCCCAGCAGAACAGACTAGGAGCAAACCTAATTACCCATCTGGAGCACAGGCAGTTCCCAGAAATGATCCTGAGTGGGACTCAAATGATGAGCAAGATGCTTAGAAAATTAGCCATTTCCAAGTGTTGATCCTTGAGGCCCTCAGGAGAATCAAGCAAGAGCCCATAAACTATTCTAAGGTTTCAGAAATTATTCAGGGACCCCAGGAAAGCCCTGCTATTTTCATGGAGAAACTCAGAGAGGCAATGAGAAAATACACCATGGTGGATCCTGAATCCACAGATGGCTAATTACTTTTATAAGACAAATTTATTTCTCGGTCAGCCCCCGACATTTGGAGGAAGTTACAAAAATTGGCATATGGCCCTGATCAATCTTTAGATAACATCCTCCAACTTGCCACTTCTGTTTTTTATAATAGAGATCAAGAGGAAAAGAAGGAGAGAGAGATCAGGCACAGAAAGAGAACTGAAGCGCTAGTATTTGCTCTTAGAGGAGTAAGCTCCCAGGGTGAAAGAGGAAGATGAAATGCTCCTCAATCCACAAAAGGGACTTGCTTCCATTGCAGAGAGAAAGGACATTTCAAATGGGATTGCCCAAGATCCAAGCAACCACCTCAAAAGCCCTGCCCTAAATGTCAAGGCAATCACTGGAAGAGTGACTGTCCTCAGGGGTGTAGGTCCTTGAAGCCAGACTCCTTCATACAGGCCTGAAGGGGCCTGGGCTCAACTCTGGCTCCTATAACTCCTATCATGTCATGTGATCCCCAGGTATGCTTCTCCCCAGGAACTTGAAAGGTCAACTTCCTCTTAGATGCTGGTGCCAGTTATTCTGTGCTCACCTCTTACCCTGATCCTCTATCCTCTAATACTGTAACCATGCAAGGAGTGTCTGGACGGCCGATCACCAGAAAGTTTACTCCCCCTCTGAGTTGTGAGTGGGATGGGGTGATGTTTTCTCATGAATTTCTAATAGTCCCAGAATGTCCTACCCCTTTATTGGGAAAGGACTTACTTTCAAAACTTCAGACATCCATTAAAATGAATTTGGGATCTCGAGGACCATTGTTTGCCTTTATTAGAATGTAATATAAACCCTGAAGTATGGGCTACTGAATGCAAAATTGGACAGGCAAAAAGTGCAGTTCCAATGAAAATAATCTTAAAAGACCCTTCTGACTTTCCACATCAGAGACAATATCCCCTATGCCCAGAGGCAACAAAGGGATTATTGAAGATCATTCAGAACCTCAAAAGACAGAAGCTTTTAGTGCCCTGCAACATCCCATGTAACACACCATTTTAGGAATCAAAAACCCAATGGGGAATGGCAACTAGTTTAGGACCTGAAAATAATTAATGAAGCAGTTGTTCCTCTCCACCTTATAGTTCTTAAAAAACACACTCTGTTATCTGAGATTCCAACAACCACTGCTTGATTTACTGTGTTAGATTTAAAAGATGCCTTTTTCTGTATACTCTTAGATTCCCAATCACAATATCTGTCTGCCTTTGAGGAACCAGATAGTGGATCTCAACTAACTTGGACATTATTGCCCCAAGGGTTTAGAGATAGCCCTCATTTGTTTGGCCAAACACTAGCTAAGGATTTAACAGAGTTCAGAGATTAAACATTTCTGACTGTCCTACAATATGTAGATGACATACTTTTGTGTGCCTCTACTCAAAAGGAATGTCAAAAAGCTACTAAAGAACTTCTTAGCTTATAAGGGTTATAAAGTCTCAAAGAAAAAAAGCTCAATTATGCCAAAAACAAGTTCAATATTTAGGATTACAGCTGTCTCAAGGAACTTGCAAGCTAGGGCCAGAAAGAATAACCCCTATAGGACAATATCCTCTACCTCAAACCATAAGACAACTTACAGGTTTCCTAGGGATAACTGGATACTGTAGGCTTTGGATCCCTGAATATGGGGGAAATAGCTAAGCCTATCTGTAGCCTACTCAAAGAGACACTATGCCAAGGAAAAACTTCCCTGATATGGGAACCAGAACAGAGTAAAGCCTTTAAGGCATTGAAAAGGGTCTTACTCCAAGCCCCTCCCCTCAGCTTACACACTGAACAAAAATTCAACCTATTTGTTACTGAAAGAGGAGGAATAGCCCTAGGAGTGGTCACACAAAAGAAGAGACCTGCTCAAAACCCAGTAGCTTATCTCAGTAAGGAGCTTGATCTAGTGTCTTGAGGATGGCCTCATTGTTTGAGGGTAGTAGAAGCTGTGGCCTTGCTAGTCCCTGAGGCAATTAAAATCACCCTGGGAAGAGACCTTATAGTCTACAACTCCCATAATCTCTCAGGAATTTTAAGTACAAAAGGTGAACTATGGCTCTCAGACAATCACCTTCTAAAATATCAAACCCTATTTTTAGAAGGACCTGTTACTCAAATAAGGACTTGCTCTAATTTAAACCCAGCTACCTTCTTCCCAGAGAAATTAGAGGGAAATCCTGAACATGACTGCCAACAAGTCCTAGCTATAAATTACTCAGCCCAGAAGGACCTTTAAAACCTTCCCCTATTCAATCCAGACCTCACCATGTTTATAGATTGGAATTCCTTTATGGAACAAGGAGAACACAAAGCTGGATATGCTGTGGTGACTTTACATGACACCATAGAAGCACAATCTTTTCTCACAGGCTGGATAGGAAGACGTACTATTGAGTATATACCTGGATGCAGGGGAGATGGACCCCAAATATAAAGCAGCCAGCAAAACTCTCCAATCACAAACATAGATGGGGATGATCTGTATTTCATTGGTATGATCATCTAGCTTCACTGTTTATCCCACAAAATGATTTAGAAGATGTAATGTGGCATAGACATTAAACAATTTTATACTCAAACTGCTCTCCATGATGTTGAGGAAAGTATCTCTAGTATCTCTCTCCTTAACACTGAAATAACACTTATGAGGAAGGCCATCTTACAAAATCAGATGGCTTTAGAAGTCCTAACTGCAGCTCAAGGCGGTACCTGTGCCATTATTAAAAATGAATGTTGTGTTTACAGCCCTGACAATTCTGACAATGTGACAAATATTCTTAAAGATTTACATGCTCAGATAGAAGCCATGTTCTCACCACCCTTGTCATGGGAACAATAACTTAGCTCCTGGTTCTCTGGTACTTCCTGGTGGAAACATTGTTAGTCTCTATCTTTATCATACACATTGGCATATTCCTGTGCTGTGTAATTTATTGTTGCATCAATCTAGTTCCAGTACTAATGAATTCTTGTTTCTCTTATAGACCACCCATCAATCAAATGGTCCTCCAGCATGTTACTCCTCAATCAAACTTCTATCATGGACCACTCAATAGACCTGATTTTTAAAAGGGGTACTCCAAACTGCTTGCTCAACATTGTCCCCTTTCATCCTGAAGAATCCAGAATGGTCTCCTCCCCTTTTTTTACAGCTGTAAGGAATTCCCAAAATTAGAGGGGGGAATGAAGCCAGATTTAAAGATAGGTAGTTAGTGTAGTTAGGTAAATGAAGTGTAATATAGTAAAATAAAAAGTGAAGGCCATGTTGAGAATGGAGTCCTAGAAAAGCAGAACAACTCTTGGAATGTTAATGTTCCCAAGGCCCAGAGCCCATCCCAAAGAAATGTTAATGAAACATCTCCCAGCAAACAGAAGACGTTAACCCCAAAGCCCTTCCTGACCAGATTACTCCTTTGGCCCACCTGTGCCCCACCCTTTGGGCCTTCCCTCCTACATTTCATCACTGAAAGATAACAGAACAAAGGACAGGAATTGGGAAAGCTAAATGAAGTCTTTAGCTATAAAAAGGGGAAGACATTTCTCTCCCATGGATTCCACCTCTTGGGTCCCCTTCTTCCTCTGGGAGAAGTCTTTTCTGCTGTCTTTAATAAGGCCTCTACTTTCCACTCTAAACTTGCCTCAACGTGCTTTTTTGATGTTATACTTCAACATTGGGGAAGCATTGGGGTAAACACTAGGACCAATGGCCTAGCATATGGTGATGCTGAACAGGCCACAGAGTAAGCTGTAAGTTCTCTGTAGAAGAGATGCCATGTAGCCCAGGTCCAAGGTACACAGCTCAGGATCTGGCAAACTGTAGCCTCTACCCAGCACCTCTGCTGCCTACCCTGAATGCAGAACAACCCTCCTCTCCACACCCTTGAGGGCTACCTGAGTACATGTGCCCCTCCCCTGTGGCCACGATGAAAGCCACAGTGCCTTGGACTAACCTCACAAAGCAGCAGGTAGAGAAGGGTCTGAGGTGGACAGGGATGGGTTGGCCCTAGAGTCCCTTTGTGAGAACTGCTATAGGTGATGGGAGGGGGCACCCTATGGCCAGTGAGAGGTTCTGTGGTGCCCCACCCTTACTCAAGAGCCTGTGCAGATGTGAGGAGTGTCTGGACCCATAGGGCCACATCTCCAGGGCAAGGCCATCACATAGCGGAATGTTTGTGGCCCTCTCCTCCAGATACATGTCAAGTCACCCACAAGAAGACACAGGTGGGAGGTTTCTAGGTTGCCCTTGTCCTTCTGGTTCTGTACAGACTGATAGTTCTTAATCATTCCTGACTCTCAGGCTCCAGTACATGGTCAGGTTTGTGCAAAGTAAGAGGCTAAGTTTTGGAAGGTGGACATGACTTGTCAGCTAAGGCCCAGCCCCTGCCCCTCCAGTGGCCCTTTTGATAAGGTGACACTTTCCAGAGCTACCATTCCACCAATTCTGCTAGCCTGATCAGTAGGTTATGGTGTGTGCTCCCAGCGGTGTGCATCCAATGCCACGCTGGTTGAATGGTTGATGAGAGGATGGATATCTGAGGGGCACTGTTTGGCAGACCCAGGCTTGAAGATCAAGGACTTGGAGGGACTTAAAGTGTCTGGTAAAAGGGCCCATGGTGTCAGCCCAGGGGAGGGTGTCATGAACCACTTCTACCTCCAGCTGCCATGGTTCCGTGGCCCCTACAGGACAAAGGCAACAGTGGCAGGTGTACCTAATCCCAGTCTTGTGGCTTTCAAAGGATGCAGGCAGTGCAGCCAGCTTGAGTGGACAAGAGAGTGGGCTGAGCCACTTCCGGTATGGAGTAGGCTTCATCCTACAGGCTGCAGAGGTCTTCCTCCAACACTCCTTTCCTCACCTGTCCAGTAGGATCCATAATGGCAGGTTTGTCTCCTGGATGGGGCTAAAAAATACTGAAAAAAAAAATCCATTAGTCCACCTTGACTGGATCCATCTGTTATTTTTCTAATTTAGGAAACTTGTTAAATAATCAGGGGGTTTTATGCCTTAGGGAGTCAAAGATATAAGCACAGCCATGAGAGAAGAGTGAGGAAGGGTCATTACTCAGAACAAGTAAGTAGAGCACTGGAGAAGTGCCTAAGAAGTATGTCCTGGAACAAAGGAGCCTGGGGATGTTACTGGGGACCTATGTATGTTTGTGCTAGTGACACCTGTTATGGCCCATAGAGGTGGGCACATTCCTTCCCATGTGCAGTCCAAGGTCATGCTTTTTCATACATGGCATGTTTAAAAATGGCAGATGGTCACATGATGGTGCACACTAGTAATCCTAGTTCTTCTGTAGGCTAAGGCAGGAGGATCATAAGTTGGAGGCCAGCTTCAGCAACTGAACAATGAGCTCAGCAACTTAGTGATATCCTGCCTCAAAATAAAATGTTGCATGGGATTCTCACACAGAGATAGGGGACACCAGGATTATCAGCAAGAAGCAGTGTTTATTTGTGTAGATACAGCCTCAGTGGATTCTTATGAAAAGGCTTAGCATTCAGTGTAGGGAGTCATAGCCACAGACATTCTTATTAGTTTCCTTTTACATACTAGTTCTTGGTCTCCCATATGAGATAATACACATTCCTGTTTGGTCATTCTATTTCTATACTACAAAGTAGCAAAAATGTTACAACTGAGTTGTTGAAGGCTCACAGTGATACTGATAGCCTTTCCTTTGTTCTGAGAAATCTCTACTGCAAAAACAATAGGTCTGGGGATGTAGCTCAGTGGTAAAGCACCCCTGGCTTCTATTCTCAGTACCAAACCAAAGCAAATCAAACAAATGGCAGATGCATTTCATTTAGGGCAGAGAACTTAGCATTATAATGAATTAGAGTGAGCAAAGCTTACCCTAGGTCACTTGGATCACCTAGAAGAGAAGCTGTTATCTTTGGCAGCTTTAAGCTTGTTCTTCCAGATCTTTTCAAAAGAGCTGTTTCTGAAACAAAGAAACAACTTCAAGTGATGTTAGCAGTGAGCAGCTCTCTGACTGCAAGCACAGGTGTTTATAAGTTCCTGCCTGGCAGCTCACCACTGTGCAGAATGCTTCCTAGTGGAGAAAGGCCTGAAGTGGGGCAGAGATCCACTTCTGGATCTCTTGGGGGATTCCCCCTCCTATTTGGCTATCCTATTCCACTTCCTGGCAGCATCTCTAGTATCTGAGCTGCAGATATCTTGACTGGCCTCCAAATCTAGAGGCTTTGAGCTGGATCAAACCCAGGACTCATAGTTCTAAGTGAGTGCTCTATCTCTGAGTCACAACCCCAGCCCACATTTTTTTTTAACATAATCCTTTTACTCAGTATCAGTGCTCTCAGGTCCATAGCATATTTGAGGAATATTGATATCCCTGAATATATGAATTTAACTCATTTCAGCAAAATTCTACCATACCCATTTCCTCTATTGTAGAAGAGTAGATGCTGATCAAGTGCATGGAAATATTTCAGGCCTTTGGTAAAACCACTATAGAATCAAAGAATCCCTGTAATGAATAGAACATTAGAAAATAATTCAGGTCAAATTGTTATTGGTTATATACTTTTGGCTTGTATTTCTTTGATAATGGAGATATGCTCATTTCCTTTTTAGATTAGTGTTAGTAGTTATTAAAACATAATCATGGGCTGGGGTTGTGGCTCAGTGGCAGTGCATGTTTGAGGGTTTGATTCTCTGTACTACATATAAATAAATGTCAACAACTAAAAAACATTAATAAATAAAATGCTTAATCATATATTTATTAGTTTAATTCACTCATGCTATATTTCTCCACATAAGTCATGTAAAAAAGATTATTCCTTTAATTATGACAGCTCAAATATCAGGAGGAGGATTCTTCTTTAGTTGTGGGAATTGTGATTTTTACAATAACAGCCAATTATTTAGGTAAAGTGCATATAAATATGTATATGACTTTGTTTTTGGACTTAATACTTCCTTATTTTTCTATAAATTGCCAATTTTTTGATGGACACAATATATTTATTTTTATGTGGTGCAGAGGATTGAACCCATTGCCTTACATGTGCAAGACATAAAAATTACCAATTTTAAATATCGTTTTATTTTATTTATCATTTTCAGAGATGTAAACTAAGTTGGAACCTGATTCAATAAATTGTGTCATATTTAGAAGGGCCTTTCAGGTTTTTCTTCTGAAGCTATAACTTTTTCTAGGAATGTATCATGGTATTCAGGCATTTCAGTTTCCTTTTCAACCTGAAATTACCTTATTTCCAGTTTCTTGCTGTCAAATATCAACAATACTAGCAACTATTCTCCTGAAGTAGAAAGGGCAGAAGAGTTCTGGATTAACATCAGCGGGGGATCATCAGTCCATTTTATACAGACAGACCATGGATATAGACTGCCATCCACTCATTTAGAGCAAGTAATGTTTTATGCTGGAATGTGAAAATTATATATAGGATTGATTTAACAACCAGTGTTACTTTTGAAGGAAAACAGATTAGATTTATTGAACTTGTAAAGTTTCTTTCTCAGGGCCCAACTTTTTTCTCATTTAAATTAATTGTGGGCTCAAGTATATTAAAAGTCTTCACTGGCCATTAATTGTGATAAAGCTACTTCCCATATTTAAGAAGAAAGTTATATTACTGATTTATTTTTGTCTAAAATGTTTATTCTTCACAAAAAAACAGAAGAGCATATTTAATACTTGAAAAAACCTTAACCATTAATACTTAATTTGGGTATTTTTTTAAAATGTTCTTTCTTGGTATCTATCAGGGAAACATTGTTCGAAATGTCATCTCTGGATTGGTGCAGTTTTGCAAATTACTACTTATTTGCAATGATATAGAAATTGAGACTAAAAACTTCAAACATTTTATAGTAGTTTAGCAGAGTCATTTTATGACTATCTCCTATTTCCATGACATGTTTAGTTGTGTTTTCTTGTTTACTCCTAATATGCTCTAGTTATTCTTTTTTTTTAATGGAAAAACTAGCTGATTTTTATTATCATTATCAATGCCAAAAAGACTTTAAATCACATAAGATCTTCCATTAAGCATAAAGTTACTTTCATATTTGCAACAATCACAGTAAATATGTTCCTTTGTATAAAGGGACATCCTTTGATTGGAGTTTAAAATATCCCCCATTTCAGGATTACATATATAAAACACTGTTTGTTGCTCATATACTAGTTGATTAACCAAATTAAAAGTTATACTCTCTAGAATAAGATAAAATGGAAAAAATTTACTCATCAGATTCATATATAAGCCATCTTCATTTACAAAATATTATTAAGAATTATAATTCCATTAAGCTTCAATTGGAGCAAAAGTATAATCACTTAAGTAAAAGCAGTTACTTAAACTAAAAATGAGAGATAAATTACTTTTGTCAGGTTTCTTGTTGTGCTTCTGGGGGTTCAGTAGCAGGCTCATTTAAAGGCAGAACATTTTGTTTCCTTAAATCAACCCTGAAGGGAATTCACTTCTACTTTCAGAATGTGGGGATGGGAGGCAGGGGAAGAAATCCAGCTCTTGTGGGGAGATAATGAGGAAAACACCACGATACCATTGGGAATGGAGGGGGTGGTGGTCCCAGTGGAAAATATTCTCGAGATGCTCCATACATGTTTCCTGGAGGAGGTGGAGGAAAACAAGGTCCTATTCTCATGAACTGACTCCTTGGATCCACTGGAAACAATGAATCTCTGATTGGAGGGAAAGGTGAGAAAGCAAAGGCAGAACCAGTTGCTTGGTTTTCAGCAGGGAGAGATGAATCTGGCACATTGGAATCACCAAATTTGATTTTGGTATCATTTCTGGATTCCATATCATTACTGGATTCCATTTCTGAAGATGTAGGCCCATCCATTGTATCCAAAGGGGACATAGTGGAACTTCTGAGTTTTGCTGGTCCAGATGGTTTACCAGAATTAAAGTAAAATCCATCTTGCCTTGGTAGAGGAAGCTGTGGATCAGAATATGGTTGGCCTGGTGGAAGGATAATTGTCCTATAGGCCTGTTCCCATGGAGGTGCCAGGGGCATGGTGTCAGAAGGTGCTCTCTGAGGATCAGTTAACTTATCACAGTTTGATTCTCTTCTTTCATTGCTAGTCGGATGGTCCAGAGGATTCTCTGGACCCCTTGAGCCTCTTCCTCCTCCCACTGGCACCAAAGATGAGAGTATGCGTAGACTCTCCCATTCAGAATGAGAAGGTCTTTTTCACATGAAGGTGGACCCAATGCTGAGGGATCATTTGGGGAATTTGCTCTGCCAAAGGCTGTATTTGAAACATAAAGTGCAGAATGATTTTTTTCTACAAGTTTAAATTTGAACTCCATTTTAGTTAATTTTTGACTGTGGTGAGCATTTTGTTTCCTTATATTATTGAGGGATCTTTCAGCATTCTGAGCTGCCAACTCATTACCATGTGCTTTTTTCTCATAGTACATAATACACCCTTGATAAAAATGAATGGTTCTCTCCAATTCTTCTTCAAGATATTTGGCTCACTTTCTACAGGTCTCCAGTGGTTTAGTTGTATGGCTGATCTTTTCTTCCACTATAGAAAGTTTCTCCTATTGCTCTACCTGGTAATTTTCCTCTCCTATTAATTTCCTTTGGAGTTCCATTACATTTTCTTGATATAGTTCCATCTTGACTTTGAGTTTCTGCTGAAGATTATTATTCTCACTTACAAACTGTGTATTTTCTGCTTGCAAAGATGCTTGTTCTGTCTTTTTTAATGTGTTCTGTAAGTTCTTCCTTTGGTTTACCTACTTCAGATAATAAAGTAAAAAACTGAGTACTTTCTCTTTCTATGGTTTAAAAGAGGACTTTAACTTAGAAACATAAACCAGTTTCTTCAAAGCACCTTTTGGCTGATCTTCTAAGTAAGCACCAATTTCTGATTCACTCTTCATTTCCAACTCCAAGTTACCTTCATCTATTAGGACTTCACCAAACAGGAGCCCAATTGTTTATCTGCAGCAAGTGTTCACTCAAAAACTTAATTTTATTTTCTTTACCTCTTAGAACTTGTTCTGCATGTACTTTAGAGTGCACCAATGTCATTTTCTGCTTATTGAGGCTATTCACTTTTTCTTTCCATACTTCAATGTCTTCTAAGAGCTGTTTCTGACTTTGCCTGAAGTTGAGGATTTTTCATTGAAAGCCTCTTTTATTGCTACTGTAACCTCTTTTTCATTCATTTGAAATATTCTCAAGGTTGTTTTAGCTTTAGGTATTTGTGATCTGAGGGATTTTGATTCATCTTCTAGGGACTTAATCTTTTTTGATATATCTGCCATCAATTCATCCTGTTGAGAATGTTTAGTTTTCTCTTCTTTTAGTTCTTTTTCTAGAAAGAGTATTTCATCCTTAAGTTGAGATACAGACCTATTCAGGTTTTCATATATTGCCTCCAAATTTTTTGCTTCTATTGACTCCTTCTCCAAAATGACATCCTTTAAAGATGACTCTAAGCCTTCATACTCTTTTTGAACAAGTCTAACTTTTTCAAGTATTTCACATTTTTCTTCAATTAGTCCAGAAACTTTTAGAGCAAGCTCTTTTTCTCTTTTCATATAATGCCAGCTTCTCACAGACTGATAACTTCTCCACAAAAACAAGAGAACAACAAAAAATCCAATAGCTGTACATATCACCAACTCCCACGAACAGCCGTAAGGACTAGGGTATGTTTCCATGTCTTCATACAAGGCAGACTATAACCCTGCTTACTTCTTCCAGGACCACCCCCAAGTAGGGCTGAGGGGTAGCTCTTTCCCCCTCATCACGCTAAGGCTACTTTGGCTATTCGCTCTACAACCACACCATGCCCAGCCATGCCAAAACATGCTGCGGACACTAAGGCCTTTGGTCAGGAATAAACCTGCACCAGGCAACAGAGCAGACCATTATGAATCAGAGGTGGGGGGGCGGGCTGTGGGC